ACCAAAGTTACTTAGTATTTTTAGAAAACAAAAGTTATCTGACATTCCTGAGGAATAACTTAAATATAATAAGTATTTGCTAAAACTTAAAAGTTTCCTGTTTCTGCACACAGATCCAATTTTTTATATATTTAAATCGGAATACCTCCAAGTAAAATATTGGAATATTTTTCTAATAGTGCTTTTATGTTCTAAGTTGATTCATCACTTCCCAGCTATTTGGATTATAAACTTTGGGGAACTAGGCAGAGAATGCTGAGGGACTGTGTGGCTCTTTCTATAATTATACCCCAAATAAGCAGTGTTTCTATATGTCACAATCTAGGAATAAGAACAACAATGTAGGATCTGTGGGTGGTCTGTGATTTGCTGATCAAAGGTCCTTGGTTCATATTTCACACCCCCTTAGTGGGGCCAAGATGAGTTTGTTTTTATCTCCATGTGGGTTGGTTAACTTTTTTCAGCTAAATTGCATGACCACCCACTTTTACACCTGACCCTGGTCATCTGATGTGTGCTATTTGTCACAGGGCAAAGAAGTCAGTGTAGAGGTTTATGTACCCTTTCCCTAGTTCTTAAAATACTCAGAAAACATGCTCTAATGGTGGTAGAACCCCTTGCATCATCCTTTATGATGAATAATATATTATTTAGAAACTAGTTAAATACATCCCAGTTCCATAACAACCAAAACATTGCCAAATACTTTTTAAACTTTTAATGCTACAATAATTGGAAATCCAGAGATACATAGGCATATAGAAATTTTGAGGCAAAAATGTCCTGACCACTGAAAGGAAAGCAATAAACTCTGCTGTGTATACTTATAGAAAATTTAGAATTTTAAGTTCCAGTCTTCCTTACTACTTGCCTTTGTGCTTAAATAAAGTCATCATGTTTTTCACCAACAGTTCAAGGGCTTTCTCATTTAGTGGAAATTAGATCTAATAGTTCCTGGTTTCTAATAACTTAAAATCAGTAATATGTCTTTGATACAAGGAGTCAACACAGAACAGATAGGCATTAGACTTCTCAAGAGTTAAGTACTATCATACATTTTTATAACAGACCTCAGTTTTAACACAGTGTCTGGCTAAAGTAGAAATGTTGTTTGTCCATCCTGCACGTTTATTGAGCACCAGCCATATGCAGTGAATGCAGAGCTTAATGAATTTGCTACCATGAAAAAGCTCACTGGTAAAGAAAGATAAAGAAATGCTGAGTTAGTATATGGAAAAGATGTTATGGAAGTACAGAGGAATGGGTGACTAATTGATCCCTGGGATGAGTGGAAAGAAGGAATGAAGAGGGGAAGTTAAGCTCTAAGAGGCTTCACAGAGCACCAGAGTGGGGTAAAAGGTTTGGCACCAGGCAGACCTTGTTTTAAGTCTAGATTTTTCATTTATTATCTGTGTGGTTTTGGGAAAATCACTGAACCTTAGGCTCAGGTGCCTCATCTGTAAAATACAGATAATATAAATTTTTACAAGTTCTTATGTACACTAAACAAATCCATGAAGACCATAAGCCTGGAGCACAGTCAGCTCTTCTCTCAGCAAACAGTAGTTAATATTGACTGCTATTAAGAGAAAGTTATCTACAAAGACTAGGATAGGGAAGAGACAATAGCATGTGCATAAATTTGACTGGAATATGAAATGGTACATGAAGCTAGGAAAATAGAGGCCAGATGGTGAAAACTTTTAAACATCTGCATTCAGAGTTAAGGAGTTTGGGTATCTTACTGGAGATGATAAAAGAATCACTGGAAAATTTTGATCACTGGGCTGACAATGAGGAGGATGGTTTGAGGAGAGAGTATAAATTTAGAGTCAGAGAAATCAGTTAAGAGGAATCATTGTTATAATTGGTTCAAGTAAATATTTTATGAGGTGAACTGAGTCAATGGTGGTGGGGATGGAGCAGACATTTAAAAAAATAATTGAGATAGAAGAAAAAAGACTTGTTAACTAATGGAAAGATTTGAAAAATGAGAGTCTATTAAAACCATTGAGTTGAGGAAGGTACTTTAATTAATTTTTTAATGAGATATGTATATTTATATATTGGAGAAAAAAATGGCAACCTACTGCAGTATTCTTGCCTGGAGAATCCCATGGACAGAGGAGCCTGGTGGGCTACAGTCCATGTGATCACACACAGTCAGACATGACTGAGTGACTAACACACACACGTGTCTATATGTTAAGGGGAATGTTGAATGAATGAACATACATGAAAGTTAAATTTTATATAGAAGCAGAGTAATACATTCATGGTGAGGAAGCTTCTTAATATAGTTGATGTGAATTTATCAAATCCATAGGAGGAAAGGACAAATTCATTCATTCAGAAAAGTTTACTGAGTATCATTATGCTAGGTGCTGGAGGGAATAAATAAATCATATATCACATGTTGATTAGTATTATCAAGAAAAAGCAAGGTGAGGCTAGATAGTTATGGGGATGGTGTTTTAGAATGGATGGTCATAAAAAGACTCAAATGACATTTGAGCAACAAACTAGTGGGTGGTGGAGGTCATTAATTATTCTGAAGACTAGACATGGAGCAGGTTATTTAGGGTCGAATCTAGAATTCAGTTAGGTATCCAAATAGAATAAGCAGTTGCACGTACAAGTCTAGACTTCAAGAAAGTGTTTATTGTTAGAGATATAATGCATGAGACAAGTGATCAGGGCTGGTGCACTGGGAAGACCCAGAAGGATGGGATGGGGAGGGAGGTGGGAGGGGGGTTCAGGATGGGGAGCACATGTAAATCCATGGCTGATTCATAGCAATGTATGGCAAAAACCACTACAATATTGTAAAGTAATTAGTCTCCAACTAATACAAATAAATGAAAAAAAATTGACAATCTTCAGCATACAGATGGGATTTAAAGCTGTGGAACAGGATGGGATATGGGAATACCTAAAATGTTGGGGAAGGTATAGGTCAAGGACTGAGCCCTGAAGTTCCAGTTTTTAGAGATTAGGAAGATGAAGGATGATATAGCAAAGGACACAGAGGAGAAATGGCCAATGATGTAGAAGGAAAATGAACAAATGTTTTGCTCTGGGGGTCAAGTGAAGATAATGTTTTAAGAGACATGAACTGCTTCAAATACTAATGAGGGGTCCAGCAAGTTGAAGTCAGTAACAGCATGTTTTTTGGCTGACAGGAAAGGTCCAGTGGAGGAAGAAAATAGATGGTGTGAAAGGGGCAGGTAGGAAGTGGAAGAACTGCATAACAAGGCCTTTGAGTAGGCAAGAAAAGATGATATCCAGTGCTCAAAGCATTGGCGGAAGCAAGGTCAGTTCAGCCAAAGGAAAGTCTACCTGCATGTGGGTACACGCTCACATATTTTCACTGTTTATAGCCCCATGTCTCCACTACTTTCAAAGCTTTCATTTTTATAGAATCATATTCTTAAAACTTACTTACTCCCTGGGGTTTTAAGCTGAGTAGATGGGAGTGATCTACTAGTGATCTTTGATTGAGATCCAGGTACAATCTCCGGTTCACTTTACTTTGCCAGTGCTAGAAGCTAGATGGTGAAATAAATAGAGAGCATAGTTCAACGTTTTCCGTGGAGCACAGCATCACAGTCCCAGGTGTAGTACGTGGGGGGGTGGTGGTGGTGTTATTTTATGTCTACCATTAGAAACCTCTCCAAGGTACTGAGCTGGCTTAGTCGCTGTTACAGTTGCACTTTCAAGTTCTTTGAAGTGTCAAATGTGGAATAACATTTTTACTCTAGGTTTTGAAGTATTTCCCATGTATTGATCATTTCCCATGCATGAGGCTATACTTCATCTCAGTTAAATTGCTAGCATCTGGTACAGTGTGTGGCTTAGAGTAGCAAAGCAGTAAATGTTTGATTTGGAGAAGAGAGAAAAACGATAATTTCTGTCACTACAGGTCCAATATCCCCAGAGCGGGGTGGAAATGAAGTTAGCTTCGTACACTCTGTCTTCACTGCGTCACGTTGAGTCCAATAAGTGGTGTACGTCACGTATGTGAATACTGGAAACACGGGGTGTCATCAATAGTATGAAGACAACCAGCGTAAATACCAACACCGTAAGCAGGACAAGAGGAGAGGGGGGAGTTAGGGAGCGCAGTGGTAATACTTTATTTTAAACGGATTTTATTCCTGCCTCCAGCTTCTACGAGGCTAATGTATAAATAGACTAAAACCCCTGCCTTAATATTTGTCACTAAATACCAAATGGGCGTGCCTCAGTGTATAGGGCACCTGCTTTTGCAAGCCCTGAGAGCAGATATTCCTGGAGTCCTCCTCTGACACCGACTCCTCCAAATGCTCATGAGGGACCCCAGCTCTCGAATCCTTTTTGGGACTCCTGCTGGCAAGGTTGCTCTGTTGACTTGCGAGGGCCTGCTGAGCATGTGTGAACAGCGCCGCGCATGCTCCGTGGAGCGCGCAGGTTTACCGAGGAGCTAGCAGAGGATTTTACTACGCCTCTCCCGCCTTCCCCGCCCAGTAAGCCCCCCTCCCCTCTCTCCCAACCCCCACCACGCGATCCCATAGGCTGGGGAATCTCCATTGACGTTTGGGTGACGCTGCCTTGCCGCCGCGGTCGGGAGTTCCAGGCGCTGCACAGGTAACGCCGCCGCTGCCGCCATATTGACAGAGCTGGGAGGGGGCCCGAGGGAGCTGGGAGCTGGCGGGGGGGCGGTGGGGAGTCACCGCCGAACGACTGTCGCGGCGTTGGCGGCAGTGGTGAGCACAAACCGAGCGGCAGCTCTTGGAGAGGCAGCACAGAGTTGTCTTCTCCGTGGGGAGCAGCAGCCTGCGGTGGCGACGACCCCTCGCTCCGAGTCTTTGAGGGACCCCGCGGCGAAGGCAGCTGTCGCTGAAGGCGAGGCTGGGGATCCCGGCGGTGGCGGCGGCGCAGTGGCAGGCAGGCTCCAAAAACGGGATGCGCGGCCGCGCGGGCAGTTGGCAGCTCCTGTTCGAGTGCTCCTGAAGGGGCGATGCTACCGTTCGCTCCTCAAGACGAGCCCTGGGACCAAGAAATGGAGGTGTTTGGCGGCAGCGCAAGCAGCAGCGAGGTTAGTGTGGTGGCTAAGAGGGTTTGGGGCCACCCCCTTCCTCCTCTCAAGACCGTTGTTGGGGGGCCCGGGAGAGAAGGGGCATGGGGCTGGGAAGTGAGGTGCCAGGCCAGGCCCCTTGAGGCTGCGGGGCGGCGGAGCACGCTCTGCCCGAACCGCGCTTTCTCTTGGGAGCCGGCGGGGATTGGGCAGCGGGCTCGGGAGTCAGGAGTAAGTGCAGCCCGGGCCGGGCTTGGCCTGGGGGAGTGTCTGCCTTGCGGGCCACGCCAGAGTTGTGACTAAGTTTCTTCACTTTTCGACCTGAAGTGGAACTGGGGGATACGCCAGGTGCCCGCGCCTGGCTCCACATGTCTCTCTTTCTCCGCTGCGCCAAGTGTGCTAGCTGCCAATTTGAGGGACAGCTGCTGACTCCAGCTCTCTATTGAACACCGGGTGCTTTAGGAACCCAGCGCAACAGAAACAGCAAGGTGACGAACTCTGGGGACATTTACACATAGGGATGAATGCTCCTTAGTTACTTTTCTCATTTCTTTGTGGCTTGTTGTGGTTCTTTGTAACAACCTAAGTGGAGATTAACTGGAGGCAAGGTTTCTTTATCTACACTCAGGTGATGTTCTGCAGCCTCCTTGGCGGTCTCCTGAATTCTACCGCCCTCTTCCGCCCCTTCTCCCTTTGCCCAACTGCTGTCCCCGCCCCGTTGGTCAGTGAAAGAACAGGCAAAGTAAACTCCAGCCCTTATGAGAGGAATCTTTGGTAAGACAGCGAGGTTCAACCAAAATATTTTGGTTCGCCTCTCTTCCCGCTCTTCTTACTTCCGAAACTGTTCTGGTTACGCTTTGGTCAGCTGTGCAGTGAGAACTCAGATGTGCACAGGTTCTTTGTTTTTTTTATTATTGTTGCTTTGTTGTTTTTGTTGTTACTATTAGAAGCAGGCAGCTTTAAACACAAAAACAAGACTTTGGGAAAAGTCGGATGTTTTTCTGATAACCTAATCGATTGACAGCCTGATAGTACAGTAGAGGCCATCACGATTACAGATCTAAAATTTTGAAGGCCAAATTGATTCACAGTAGGATATTTTGAGGTAGGACTCGAAATCCTCCACATCTCTAGGTGCAGATTTGTCTTTTAAGTACTTGCTTCATCCTTAAAAATATACTTTGGACTGCTGTCTGTTTAACTTGTTCTTTTTCTTTTCAAATTTCCAGCTGAATTGGGGTTAAAATTACATGCCAGAATAACATTTAATAAGAAATGTAGTGGAAATATGGAAGAAGTCTAAAGTTGAACCCTCTCTATTTATAGAAAATATTTTATGAATACACTAAGGAATTCCTAGATACATTTTAATATTCTACATCTCTTAAGAACAGGATAAATGAAGAGGGGTTTGTTTCTTCTTGGAATGTTTCATACTTGCAAGAATTTTCTAGAAGATTACTCAAGGGAAGAGGAATTTTGTTTAATTTGTGTATGTAATCTTTTGACTTATAGTTCTAGGCATCTGGTTTATAAAAACAGTTAAATGCTTGGATAAAAGGTTGGGATGGGAGGGGGGAACCATTCGCATGCTTGCTATTATTTTTGTTAACTTTGAATGTAGAAATGTTTTAAATTGTAATTACCGCATATGGTTTTTTTTTTTTTATTGTTTGCAGTATGTTTTAGGTATTATAGAGATTTAACAATGGGTCTCTCTACCTCAGCAATTTGGAAAAATACTGGAGTGGAAATTGTTAATCCCTATGAAGTAAAACGAAAGGTGAAGGTAATGTGGTAAAGATAGTATTTCTGCCTTCTTTGTCTAAAACAGTTATGATTGGTTAGATTTAACCCTGCAAGTGACTTAATTAAACTTTTTCTAAAACAAATATTGTAGGTGAAAACGAAACACTATATCTGACCTGCTTAGACCTGTTTAGTACTCAGAAGAGGTTGTGTTTTTTGTTGTTGTTGTTGTTATTGATGTTTGTTTATAATGGCTTTCTTTTGATAAGGAGACACTTTTACTTCCCAGAATTTTTATTTATTTTAATTGCATGTTTGTTGATGTTGGCTTTAGAAATGTTAACCATTGAATGTGAGCTTTGCAGCCCTGAATCATGATAGTTTTTAGGACTAAGGGTGCTTTCATTGTAGAATATATTTTTTCAATATGTGTTGAAATCCTTAAAGAAAATGTAAGTACGAATCTGTTAACTTTAATGTTAAAGGAAACTTTAATGTCTATTTCTGTGTGTGTTAAATCCTGATAAAATTAAAGATTGTATACACTATCATATTTTGTGGAGTCTTTTTCAACATCTTTTGCTGTCTTGTTTCATGGGCAGTTGTTAACCTTTGAATTATCATTCAGAAGTGTGATAATTGGTTGTTTAGCCTCTTAACATGTTTTTGCACAGGAAAAAAATTATTAAGGATAGTTATGTTTTTATACCAGTGCACAGTAACGAGGTGTAATGATGAAGAGTCTAATCACTGTAACATTGTTCAATGGGAAATGTGTCAGAGGTTTCAAGCAAGAATTAGATTGGTTCTAGTGAGAGGTGGAGAATGAGCCTGAAAGGGGAAATATCAGCTCCATTGGCTCCTGAGAAAGAGGGTTCTTGGGAGAGGGGAAAATAGGATAAGCAAGAAGCTTTGGTTGTGAGAGCTCTTGCAGGGACTGTCTCAATTAGGTCTGTTGGGGACTTTAAAGGATATTATCCCTCAGGCAGCCATAATTTTAGCTATTACCTGAATTCCGTCAGCATCAGGGAAGAGATACAATGATGAAAAGCCTAATCACTGTAAAATTGTCCTGTGGGAAAATGTGTCAGAGGTTTCAAGTAAGAATTAGGAGGTGTGATGGGTGTTGGTGACTCCTGGACAAAGGTCATTAAGAATAGCCTGTTTTAGTAGTAAAGTGGACTTTTCATGAAGTAGTGCCATGTACACAGTTTGTGCATTTTGTGTTTTGGTGAGAGAGTACTTGATTCCTGATGGAGTTTGTTATAGAATTTTCAAATTGTATATTATATCACCATATTATATTAAATATTTTTTGGTACTTTTATATTATTTTTTAGCATACTGCTTTTGTTTAAGGAAGTTAGTTTTGAAAGTAATACAATTTATTGCTAAAACAGTTTGGGGCTAAAGCTACTGACTCTAAAAATTTAACTGGGACATCAGATATATGGCAGATTGGGAAAAACTGCTAATTGTAATTAATTTCATGAGACCCTGTAGTAATAGAGGAAAGAACATGGGCTTTGGAGGCCAGTTTAATCTAGGTTCTGATTTCACCTCCAACTTACACTAGCTCCACTGCAAGTTACCTAACCTCTCTGAGCTTCAGTTTCTTCATCTCTAAATGGGAGAAGAACTGTCTTCAAGAGCTGTTATATAAAAACTAAATACTTTGCTGTGTTTAATTCCTTAGCAAAATGATTTGCACATAGTATGTATCCAGTTTCTTCCCTTTCCCCACAGTCACCTCTTTTTTCTGCCCTAAATTCTGAATTATTGTCTACTATATTAAAACCTTGGTATTTAGATAGCCATAGTCATAGCTCCAGTTTTCCTTATTATGAGTGGTTTTTCATAAAATCTCCTTCCTAGATCATTTCATTTAAGTATATTGATCACATTTGTAATGATAGGATGATTAAGGATGAAATACAAAGTTATATTTAGGAGCACTTTGGGGGATAAGGAGAGGCAAATAATTTGTTATAACTAGCTAATGAGATGTTTCATTGACATTTTTCTTATTCTGAACTTTTGTCATGGTAGGAATTGTTTCAGTTCATGAAGTGTTTATTGGATACAAGGCAGTTCAGTACATAGCATTGTAATGTGAAATGTCTGAAGATATACCATCCTGAATCCTGCCTCAACCCCATGGGTTTACATTCAGGTGGGCAAGATAGTCATATGCAGAAATTGCTGTTATACAAATTACAAGACCATCAACAATGAGGTGGCTGTGGTAGTGGTTTAGGGAATAGATTCAGTAAGGCATTGTGAAAGAGGTGGAATTTGAGCAGGGCATTGGAGAGTGGATAATATTTTCACAGATTAAAGGCACCTATTTCTGGTGGATTAGGGCAGTGTAAGCAAAGGCATGGATGTGTTCTTGGAGGAAGGAGGAGTATGATTTGCTAGGATATAAGTATATGATGTGAGAATGGGAATATAGTGTGATATGAGGTATTCATCTAAAGGTAGGCAAGGCCCAGATTGTATGGGACTTTTAAAGTTAGTTTAAAGGTTTTCAGTGTTCTGTAAATGGGAGCTACTGAAGATTTTTGAGATCATGAATGGCATGACCAGATCTGTGCTGGCAATAGCTGATGGCAGCGTATAGGATGGATTGGAGTTGGGGAGAGACTGAGGGTGGGGAATTTTAATCAGTGAAAGTAATAGTGAGTTTTTTAACAAAGACAGAAGGCAATATAAAGGAGAAGACTGAGGGAGAGACCTTGCAGAGTTAAAATAGTTTAACAACTGATCAGATATTAGGGAGTAAGAGAAATTAGAAGTATTGTGGTAGGACTTAGTTCAATATAACAGATATTTAGTGCATACTTGCCAGTAAAAGTGTCTATGTTAGCCACTAGACTAGTATAAAGGTAAACAAATATTTGCAGCGTAGGGAGATAGAAAGCTAAAACAACACTGCCCCAGTAGTGTCTTAAACAAGAGCAAGCCACTAAAGATTTCTGGCTATGCTTGGCATGCTTAAAATCTTTACTTCTAAAGGTGAATATGCTTATTACCAGCTGAAAGGTTTTTCAGTGCTTTTAAAATAGTGCTTTAGTCTGAAATTTTTGCTTTATCAGTATTCATCTTAAATAGCAGCCCACGAGTGCAGAGGGATGTGCTGAAAATAGTGACTGGTGCTTTTTTCTAGAATGCAATAAAGAGAACAGGGATATCTGTTTTTCTTATATACTCTCACCAGGTTTATTTGGACTAGAAAGAGGGGAGTGGCCAACAGGGCCCTGACCCCAACCCGCCCCTGATACCTTTCCAGTTTTTCCAAGACTATCTTTCTTTAAGCCAGTCTGGTCTGGAAATATTCAGGTCAGTACCTTCAGGGCAGAGCCTCTGTATTTCTCTACCTTGATTTTTTTCTTCAAGAGAGGTAATCATTACCTCACCATTCCAAAATAAGGCCTGACTTGGTTCTATTCCTTTTTCTAGCCATATTGTTTCAGTAACACCCCTTTCAGTCTCTCTCATCTATAATTTTGAGAGGGAAATATAAGATTTTTTTTTCTGTTCTTGTAATTTCGCTCTTGGTGTATTCTGTCATTATCTTTAGCCAGAAGTTCTCAAAGTCTGGTAAGTACTTAGAATCTTGAGGTCTTAACTTTTAGTACTTTGTCAAAATTTGCTGTATAATGTTTATACATTTATGTGATTTCCAAAGATAATTCACTGTTCTTGATGATGGTTTTTTTTTTTTTTTTTTGTCTATATTGTTTTCTTTTGGTTTGTTTTTAGGTGGGAAGGGAGTTGAAAAGAAAAGAGATTTAATTAATTTTATTTTTGGCTCCACTGAGTCTTCTTTGCTACTTGTGGGCTTTCTCTAGTTGCTGTGAGTGGGGGCTACTCTCTAGTTGTAGTGTTCAGGCTTCTCATTGCAGTGGCTTCTTTTGTTGTAGAGTACTGGCTTTAGGTGTGCGGGCTTCATTAGTTGCAGCTCGTAAGCTCTAGAGCACAGGCTCAGTTGCTCCTCAGTGGCATGTGGGACCCTTCCACACCAGAGGTTGAACCCATATTTCTTGCACTTGCAAGCAGATTCCTAACCACTGGACCACCAGGGAGGTCCCAGGAGAGAGATTTAGAGCTAAGTTTAAACTGGCTTTTGTAGATAATAGAGATGTTTTCTGAATTGCCCTGGAGGCATTCTATGCAACTGATTTTGCTGCTAGATTTTAACTCTTATCTGTACATTTGAAGTAGGTCCTGCTGTGTGTGTGTGTGTGTGTGTGTGTGTGTGTGTGTGTGTGTGTGTATTGGTATGTGAGAGAGAGAGAAAGAGATTGAGAGGAAGAGAGTGTGTTTTGTTTATTCCTTGCTTCATTTCACAAAGTATTTCAAATGGTTTATAGGAGATAAGATCCAATAAAAATTATTTTGATATTCAGGATAAGAGGAAACAGCATAGCAGGTATGTGGAAAGGATGGAGGATGGGGTTGGAGGGTGAACTAGAACACATATAAGATGCTCTAAAGGTCTGCTATATATTTAAAATATAGTTGAATTTCAAATTTGTCCTTGATTTCCATGGGTTGGTAGTTTTTAGTTCTGATCGTACATCTGATGGGGCTTCTCTGGTGGCTCAGTGGTAAAGAATACACCTGCCAATGAAGGAAACAGAGGTTCAGTCCCTGGGTCAGGAAGATCCCCTGGAGAAGGAAATGGCAACCCACTCCAATATTGTTGCCTGGGAAATCCCATGGACAGAGGAGCCTGGTGGGCTACAATCCATGGGGTCTCAAAAGAGTCGGACATGGCTTAGTGACTAAATAACAACAGCATAAATCAGAGATGCCTGGGAATTAAAAAGTTTTTTTCCATGATGGTGTTTAACTCACAGAGATTCATATTTAACTAATCTGGTGAGTGTCTGGGCATCATTTCCCAGGTGATTGTGATGTACAGCCAATGATAAAGAGCCACAGCTCTATGCCAAAAGAAAAATAGTCATGTAGTTCTCATTATCCAACAAGAAAAAAAGCATCTTTCAATGCCTAAGCCAGCAATTAGCTGTA